ATACTCAACAGTGGATTAATTATTTTCACTTAGTCTTTCTTTAGTGCTCTTCTTTATGTAGATCAGAATTTATGACCAATATGATTTTCCTTCTTTATAAGGCATTTCTTTTAACATTTATTACTGGGTACATTTACTAAAAGCAAAGTCTTATTGTTTGTGTGAGAAAGTATTTCTCTTTCACTCTTGAAGGATGATTTCATACAGTACAGACTTCTAGGTCAGTAAGGGATTTTTTTGTCTCATAACTGTAAGTATTACACTTCACTCTTTTCAACTCGCATGATTTCTGAAAACTCATGTAGTTCTTCGTTTTGCTCTTCATAGGAAGAGTTTTTTCTTGTTTGGCATCTTTTAAGTTTCTTTCTTTACCTTTGATATGCTGCAGTTTGAAAGTTACATGGCTGGATGTAGGTTTTTGACACTATCTTTATTAGTGTTTTCTAAGCTTTGATATCTAATATTAATTGAGGAAATTTCTCATTATTGTTACTTTAATACTTCTTCTATAGTGATTCCTGTCTTTCTTCTTCTGATAGCCTAAGTGCCTGAACATTAAACCTTTTGCAGTTGACCCACAGTGCTTCATCATTCTAATATGCTTTTTTCAGCCTTTTAATTTTGGAAATTTCTATATAGATATTCTTATGTTCAGAGAGGCTTTCTTCAACTATGTCTAGTGTACCACTCTATCAAAGGCAGTGTTTTCAATCTGTAGCATTTCTTTTTGATGTTTTCTTAGATTTTCTATCAATTTACTTAATTACCTACATGTGTTTGTGTGTTTTCTATTTTATCCATTAGAGTCCTTAGCAAATTAATTATAGTTAAATTCTCAACTTGATAATTCAAACAGCCCTGTCATATTGGTTCTGATGCTCTCTCTTCAAATTATGTGGACTTTTTAGCTTATGTTGTTTAGTTTATGTTACGTTGGGGGTTTGAGATCCTTTTAGTATGTCTTATCTTTTCTTATATGCCAGACATGATGTATTGAATAAAAGAAACTGATATAAAGAGGCTTTGGCAATATGATGGTAAGGTTGGGGACAAAGCAACATTTTAAATAATACCATTGTTGTCTGGGGATTTAGCTCAGCAGCATAAATGTCTGCCTTGCAAGTGCATGCTTGTGAGTTCAATCTCTGTTACCAAAAAAATTTTTTTAAAATATCATTGTTACCAGAAGGATGATGTAGTGTTGTTATACATTCTTTACTGAGTGGAACAACCAGTGAACAGGTAAAGGTAAGTTTGTTTGTTTGTTTTTTGGTACCAAGGATCAAACTCACAATCTCATGCTTACCAGGCAGGCGCTTATACCACTGACCTAAATCCCCAGCCCTGTAACTTTAATTTTAAATGAAGGAAGAAAAAGAAAGAGTTTAAAAAACAGAGCATAAAGAGATACGTCCTTCAAGCAGGATGATCGACTACAGAAATAAGAGGACAGCAGAACCGGAAGATGATAGTAGCAATGAATTCAATGGCCCTCATTTTTTGTATTCTCTCAGATCTGGTTGATCTGAGTTGCTCTGCATGTGCATCCTGGCCATGATTGACAGATCATACCGTGTTTCTCAGTCTCCATTCTGGATCTTCATTATTGGCAGGTTACATCCTGTTTTCTAGCTATCCTGCCATACTCTAATGACTAGGTCTAAGTCTTTATTAAGCATGTGCCCCTGGCAATGAACTTTACAAAAGATTCTCAGGGCTTTTTTCCCCTCTCCTTAGCTGAGACAGGATGACTACCTCTAGCAGAGTACTGGATTACAGTTGGTTATTTTCCTTTTCTAAGGTAGCTCAGGCTGTGATGAATCTTCAGATTAAGCTGTGGTTACCTAGTTTCTCTTGAATGTTCTAGTGTACTTCACAGTGGTTCCTCTTCCTTCCCCCTATCAAAAACACGTGAAAATCTTTTTCTGACATTTGTTGTAAAAACCCGATTAAGTTCATAGAGGCAAAACTCTGTCAATTATGAGCTCAAACAGACACAATCACACACACTATGTGTGGATCCCTCTAAAATTGTAACTCTCAGACTCCTCCATGTGATACCTTCTGCATTTTACCAACTACAGTGATTTATCTGTCCCAGCATGGGTCCCTAGAGAGGTTTCTGTTCTGAGATACATGATTTTTTATATCTTCCTGTCTCTCTCTAATCTTGGATTCAGCATTTTTTATTATAATCTCATTTATTTTATGGATCTAAAAAGAGTTGTAGGCATAATATTTTCAGCTTAACCAAGCCTTCCTTAATACTATGGAATTCTTATAACAATAAAAATTCTAGGCATCACTGCTGATCAGTAAAGAAAGAAAGCATCACTGTCCTCACATTTCACCAACACACACTCTTACTAGAAAATGAGTTTGTTTTGGATATTCCTCAGTAACACAGTTCTTTCAGCATACTCCCCAAGTGAAGAAAGAAAGAAAAAACTGCACTAAATATAAAATAGTCATTTCATTTTTGTTTATTAAGTAAAAGGAACACACACAGAGTTGATCTCTGTTAATTTTTAAACTGTGTCAAAATATAGTAGATATATTTTAACTCAAAATACAATCAGAATGTGAAGAGAATTATGAAGCTATATACCAGTGAACCTACCTTGTAAAGTGAAAGAATCTTTGAACTGGAAAGGACTGCATTGGTCATTTAGTCTAAAATTTGAGTTTCTAGGTGGGAAAATAGGGCTCAAGGAAGTTATCCTTTGCCCAGGTTTACCCAGCACTCACACAGGATATCAGGCCAAGGAACTCTCTGTGCTTGATAAGAGAATGACTCAAAACTACAAGTCCAGAGCAAACAGAGAGAGAAAATCAAGTTTACAAAACCAATCCCATTACTTTGAGAGCAGAGACACTGACCTGCTGTGTTAGTCAACTTTCTGTCTTTGTGGCAAAAACATATGAGACAGAGATAAACACACTGAATGGAGATTTAAAGATTTATTTTGGCTCACTTTCTCAGAGGCCTTTCTCAGGCCACAGCTGGCTGACTGCATTGTTTTCAGGCCTGTGGCCAAGCAGGAGCATGTGTCTGAGCAATGCTGGTCACTTAAAAATAGCCAGGGAGGAAAAAAGGAGAAGGGAAAGGGGCCCAAAAATCCCCCTAAGAAACTCCCTTCCTCATTACCTAATTTTCTTCTGCTGGGCTGCACCTCCTGAAGTTTCCACCACTTCCCAGTGATGCCACAGGATGGTGACCACGCCTTTGACACGTGACTTTGGGGGTCACTGCAGATCTAAACCATAACACCTGTTTGGGAAAATGGAGCCTTCAAAGGCTAAGTTAAAGCAGCCTTCATATGTCAGCTCCCTCTGCTCAGTTGTGGAGAGGAAGAGAATAAGCAAGAAAAGGAGAAAACAAGAGTCAGCCTAGAGCTAATATAATGAAAGAAAGAGAAAATATGATGAAAGGACAGCCATGAGGAGAAGAAAGAAAAGCCAAAAAGGTCAGGTAAAGTTTAATTCGGTTTGGTTTTGCCCATAGATTATAAAGGCTTGTTCTACACATGTTTTTTCATTGTTCAGCAAATAAAATACTTAGTGAGAGTTATTTTTTACTAGGCCGCATGTCAGCAGAAAGTTCCCAGTCATAATTTTAGCAAGAACTACACAATCTCCAACCATAGAGATTTCATCTTGCCAAACAACTAGAAGCAGAAGCCAGGCCTTCTATTCACACTGAGACAGCGAGTAGAGTTTATCCATATTAAGCACCAATAACTCCATGAAATAAAATATTTAAACAACATGCTCACCCCCTCCCACCAATTCTGTCTTCCACTTTCCCTCAGGAAGAGTGACCCCCACCCTTAAGCCTCTGAGATCCAGGCCAAGCAAAAAGCTTGGATCCAAAAGGAACCCTTGTCCCTCTTGTTAGCCCCAAACTTTCAATTCTCAAATGTTCACAGACTCATATATCCCCATCACAGTCTAACATGCCTAGCTCCGATCTCTTCAAGTCATAAACTATCCAGGTCTTCAAGAAAGATGTGTGACTAAAATACTAGTCTTTATTTTCTATAGTCACCATCACAGGACAAGCAATGCAAACATATCTTATCATTCAGGACAGGAAGGAAGACTGGGAATCCCATCAAAAGAAGCCACTATAACCCTCAAACATATTAATAAGTAAACAACTAGGGAGTACTACTCAGCCATAAATAAGGATAAACTTGAGACTTTTATAGGTAACTGGATGCAACTAGAAACCATACTCATAAATGAAATAATATGTGTAAACATTTATTGTCTCCCTAATGTGATAAGCTGAAAGAAATAATATATGTATATATATTTTTTCATAAATATATATATGAAACATAGTTAAATAGTTATACTACTAATTTCTTTTAGTTCATTGAAAAGAAAGATTTGTGCTAATATTGTTTGGACAATTAAATGCAGATATCTTGTATTCTGAGTACCTAATTTAAAGATAACAATATGCAATCTATTAGTCATTGTCACCCCCAATGATCTTGTTTTGAAATTTTATTTTTCTCTTTAAAAACAAAGTAAAATAAATTTTAAAAAATAAAAAACTATTAGTTGTAAGCCTCCCACTAGGCTCTCCTCATCTAGAATAAAGAGGGTGCACAATAACAATATTAGAATCTTCTTGTTTTTAAAATCATTCGGCGAATAACAAACTTATCATTGTTGTCATTCAGTCTTCTCCTTGGCAAGTCTTCTTCTGAGTCAGGCTTTCCCAACCATTCTCCTCCCCCATGAAGTATAAAGAAAAAACAACTAGAAGAGCGCAGACAGTTTCCAGCAGTTTCAAGAGCACATAAAGACATGGCCCATGGACAAAAATGAAGCACATAAAATACTATCAAAACAATTCCACATTCCTGAACTGACTGTTTAATGTAGAATTCTAGATCTCAGCAAGAACAGGATGTGTGCAATACTGTTGTTTCCCTATTCAATAACATTGCCACCAAATGTAAATGCATTCTCTATTTTTCCTTTAGGCCCATGTGGGCAGCATTTCCATTTCTTCCTTCCTGGTCTCTGTGACTCTCGCTGGTCTCCTACATCTGAGACTTCTCTTGGCTGACACCCAGTCCAGATTGGTAAGAGGAGGATACAGTTGCCAAGAGACCGTCATCCAGGCCCCTGGTTTACAATCCAGTGCTCTCTAGGGCTGAGCTACCTTAAACTCTCGTGAGGGTGCACCATGGCAACTTTCCTAGAAGAAGCTTTTAAAGTACCCTCTGTTTAACTCTGAAGAAGGTCCCAGATGATAAGGCACACGTCATGGCTACTGATGTTGCAGTTCTAAGCAGCCATTTTCTCTTTCGCTCCTCTGGTGTGAACAGGCCGGATTGAATAACCAGAGCAGATTATTGCTTTTATCAGCGATAGAAAGATGCGTGGTAAAACACAAGGCTCTGCAGAAACAGTCCTAGCTTGGCGGCTACTTAGCCCTGACACTGGGAAAGTTACCTAATTTTTCTTTGTCTTCATTCTCTATATTCTGCCATTTAGAGGTAATAACAGCACCTGCCTCCTGGGATTGCTGTCAGGGTTTAGTAAGCTGATGTTAAGAAAACTTTCAAAAGCTGCCAAGCACAGAGTATTCACTCAGTAGATAGAGCTATCACCATTATTATTTCTAGGAGGATCTCAAAAGAAAGAGAAAATATAAGGGATAGTATTAAAAGTGAAATCTGGGTTTAGAGGCAAAGGAATTGTCTGGAAAATTCAGAAGAAAAGACATTTTGAGTGAAAAGGGTAAAACAAAGCAGGGACGGGGTCTGTTTCCCTTATGCAGAGAAGCAGTCTAAGTATTCCAGCTCCCAAGACACCTGCTGCCTGGGACTAGCTGCTCAGCATCCCAGGAGAGGCAAACACAGGGGGCCTTTGTTCAGTTTACCACTTTGGAGCAGCTTCTTCCAAGGATCAGACAAGGGAGAAGAATAGAAGAGAGGAGGAAGAGGGGAGGAGAGAGGAGGGGTGTGATTTTGTTTTTTTCCAACTGTGCTTAGTGTTCCCTGGTCCTCAAAGAGAGGAAACTGTGACAGGGTGCTTTGCCCTTTGCATTACCCTAGCAACCTGAATTCCTTTACTCTTCCAGGAAATTGTAAACAAAATAAATCCACCGAGTTGGCGTTATTTTCTGTTTTCTTTCTCCAGTGTCTAGTGCTTTCAAAGAAAAGTGTCCCTTGCCCGTTTGAAATACGTTTCAGATTCCTTCAAAATATATTTAATAATATCAAGAGTGCGAATTGTAGAAAAGTTGCTAAAATGAACTGGATGTCCCAGTGTGCTGAGTAGCAGATGCCATAGAATATAAATGGCTGATCCAAGGTATTTTTAAATCCCTGTTAGATAAAGAAAGGATGAAGAAGGAAGGAGGTGTAAGAAGGAAGGTTAGAGGAAGAGATGTAAAATGTCTTTAGACAAGGACCAAAGTATGGACATGTGACAAGTGTCAGCATAGGAAACCAGGTGCTCAGAAGAAAGCCCTGTGCTTGGAGTAGACAGTGCCCTGTGGGCACCATCTGGAAGTTCTCTATTTGTTTTTTAAGTAAAGTCTGACAGGACAGTGGAGACCTCAGTCACACAGTTCTGCCTCCAAACTTCCCTGGACAGATTTTCAGCCCTCAGCTCCTTGACTCCTGCCCAGCCACCACTGCTGTCCTCTGTCCCTGGCAAGGCCTGGCACAGACATACTCTGAGAGAGTGAAGCTTGCATGTGTGTCCAGGTGCAAAGCAAGTCAGTCGGTCAGAATTCATGGTAAGAATCCTCATGGTTAGAGTGCCACTAATTAGTAAATAAAAATCACCATGACAGATCTAAAGAGACATGATAATGCATCATTGTGCCACTAGTCAGTATTTTAACCATAATGATTTTCTTACTGCTTTTTTTAAAATTTGTTTTTCTTTTTGCCGTAGTATGAATTGAACCCAGGGACTTCACACTCCCTAAGTTGCCCAGACTGGCTTTGAACTTAATATCCTCCTGCCTCAGCATCCCAGAATGCTTGAATTAAAAGTATATACCACCATGCCCAGCTAACTATAATCTCATGGGACTTTCTTAGCTTTAATATTATAGCCAGACATGGTGGTGCACACCTGTAGTCCCAATTACTTATAAAACAGAGACAAGAAGATCACTTGATCCCAAGGGTTCCTTACTTGCCTGGGTAACGTGGAAAGATTCTGCCTCAAAAAGTGAATAAATAAAAGTAACAATGCCAGTTTTCAACCTTCATAGGGAAAGATGAACAGACCTAATGAACAGGTTGCTGTCTAGATGTCTGTTCATCAAGCTACTAATTATAGAAGACAGTGTATCTCAGAACACTGAGATAAGTGGAAATTTGTTGGTAATATTAAATGAAACTTATGAGTGGACATTGATTTGAACTACTTTTCCATACTAGGGCCCAACAGATACTATAAATCAGAACAGAGTTACCTGGCCTTGAGTTCCAGCTACCCCAATCAAAATTCATTTGTTACTTGACCTTCAGAAAGATCAGGAGAGAGAAAGATAATAGCTAAATTTCCCAAACACCAGTGGGCTTTAATTCTTACATCGTTTCATTCTTACAAAAAAACTAACTTGAAGTAATCTGATGTCAGCCAGCCAGTTATTTTCTGTCATTCTGTGTCCTTGCCTTAAAAGAGAAGTAGCTTCAAAATGATCAATCTTGTTTTTGTTGTTTCTGCTTTTTTTCAGTCATTCTCTGCCTATACAACCAAACTCTTTTTGTCAGCCCATTGAAACACTTACTCGATTTTATAGAATGAAATCTGGCCTGATTTTAGAATAAAAAATAAAGCCAATCAATATCTTACCTAAATTGTTGCAATTTTGTCCTTTCAGAAATCATTTGTATGGAATATATTTTCTATTTTTTCTTTCCTTTTCCTCTCTCTCTGTCTCTCTCTTTTTATTTCATATATTTATCTTAACAGGAAGGAACATGGGATTGGTCATCATGGGCTTTCTCTGACTCTGTTTTTCAGAGTGGAAACAGAATTTTGTGTTCCATCATTCTGAGCCACCATCAGGGGCCGTCTATAATCAACTATGACGACGAGAGTGGAAAGACGTGTGCACACATCGCCGCAGCCGCGGGTTTCAGCAGCATTATTAATGAACTGGCAAGAGTCCCTGAGTGTAACCTGCAGGCTCTGGATGTGGATGACAGGTATCCATGGCAACTCAGAAAATTCTGGAAACTACCAAACATCTTCTCCAAATGTCAATCGTAAAATAAAGAGGCTGAAGGACTATATCCTTCTTACCGGAAATACATGTGTGTTGGTGGCAGTAAAAATCGCTGTATTCTAGTAAGAGGAGGGAAAATCATTGTTATGGAGAGAAACGCTGTGACTACTGTTCTGTCACATTTTCCACTTTTTTGCTAAATGTTTTCAGTGTTCTCTGAAGGCTTTCTGTAGATCAGCTTCCTGCTGCTCGCTCTTTCTGATCTTAATGGTAGGTTTTATTTTCTTCTTCATTCCTGGATTATGTCATGAGTCAACAAGTTCTTGTTATTCAGAGAGCATAAGTCAGGTTTTAGATTCAAAACAAAATGGGCTCGTAGAATTGCATGGGATCTTATCAGGTTTCTTTCAATCATTGAAAGTATATTGGCTGGAAAAAGAAGATGGGTCCTGAAGGGTGAAAAGATTTATCTCAGTGCCAGTTAGCAACTCAGTGGAGGTTTGCACCTGTGACTTTCAAATTTAGAATTTTTCACCTACAATGTCCTGCTTGCCTAACCTTTGTTTTTGTTAGGCACTGAGTCAAGGGAATTACAAGAAAAATATAAAAAGGCTATTGAAAATGAGTACAAGGTTTACATATTATGTTTAGTTTTGTACCCTCTTAAAGTGCAAAATTAGCCACTTGTTTATCATGATTTTAGATGTCCCAAGAAAGCATCTCCCCAAATATCTGGAATTATTTTAACACACACACAAAAATTAGGGATGCTACATGGGTATTAGAAGCTACAGGTGATTAGCATGGTGATTTTAATTACAACAAAGCTTTAAATCACTGAAATTACACTTTTTCCTAGGAGCAAATACTGATTCTAAGCAGGTCAGAAAGAAATATGTTAATACGAAAAGGAATACTTATACAGAAAAGAAAGGAACAAATTTCAGAAAGAAGGGCAGAAGGGAAATTTGCCTACTTCAAAATACCCCTAAAACCAGCTCTGAACAGAACAGTTTCCATGTTATACTAATGCATGTTTAGTAAAGACAATCCAGTTCCCTAGGCCTTAGCAAAGAAAGAAAAAAGAAGGGAAGGAAAGCGTACAAAGGAGCAGGTCCTGTGAGAGCTGAAAGTATAACCTCAAGGAGAGCCCAGTTCTCAGCCGGATGTGGCACCACATGCCTGTAACTCCAGCTACTGGGAGGCTGAAGCAAGAGGATCTGTAAATTTGAGGACAGCCTGGGCAACTTAGTGAGACCTTGTCTCAAAGTAAAATATGAGGTGGGATATGCATGTAGCTCGGTGGTAGAGCTCTTACCTGGCATCTTGTATGAGACCCTGAGTTCAATCCCTACTGAGGAGAAGAAGAGAAAGAAAAACAGAGTCCAGGTCTTGCTTGAAAGCTCAATTCAAGTGACCAGTAGGTCAGTCCTTTTGATGCCTCCATTTTGTTTCATGCTGAACACACAACCATGTCTCCACACTGAATCCAGAACTTCCTGTTGGTCATGTAATTTTTGAAAATTTTCATAGGCTTATGCATTTACAACCATTGTGACTCCACTTTCCTATTGAGAGATTTTCCTACAAAAGTGTTTACAGAAAGGAAAGAAAAAATATTTAAAAGATACAGGCAGAAAAATGGAGAAGTAGTCTTTCTACACATAAAAGCACGTCGTAAAGCTGTGATATTAAAAACATGGCGATACTTAGCTAAGATTAATGGCACAGAATACATGAGAAACAGCACGTATATTTTAAATGAGCCAAAATTCATCAGCCTATGAGGTCACAATTCATTCTTCTAAGCAACTCATCTATCTTCAGGGAGGACACTCGTTTATCAAGTTCTCCTCCCTATGTATTTCTGGGAATGCTCTGGAGAATGTTTACATGTTTCAAAATGCGTTCTTGGCTACTGACTTCACCCAGTGCTGCCTCTCTTGACGTCCAGAGATCATCACCTCAGCCCGCTGCTTGTCCCTGCTCAGTTTCTTCCAAATCCCTGAACTTCAGCTTCCTGTCTGAAGGCTAAGGTCAGTCTGCTATGTTTCCAGGACTATCCTGAAGCCTAGCAATAAGAAAGGAACTATAGAAACTTGAAATCGAGGGCTACAAATTTGTCACCAAAGTCTTCAGTGTATTAATCAGATGTCATCTATATGCTTCCCTCAATCCTCAAAGAAACAATTTAAGTCCTCCCACTCCAACTACTTCTAGGCTTCTTCCATGGTGATGGTAAGAGGAATTAAAACAATCACTCTTAGCAAGTCCTATAAGCAGAGGATTTCACACAGCTTCAAATTAGATTGCTGTGTGCTGGTAAGCCTGACCAGATCAATGTTCAGCTCTCCACTATTGACTTTATTGATAGTATTTCTCTAAATGAGAGGGCATAATCTACTGGTACCTCATATTGTAGAATAAATAAGATTGTCTGGAAACCTTTCTTGCATAAAATGAAACAAATCATGCCTGCTACCTTCAAACAGGGAGTATGATAGATTACAGAATAAAAATAACATATGGCTCTATTAGGTGTCATAAAATGGCTACCGATAGCATAATATAAAGAGCAGAAGGATGTCTGAATGGCAGAGGACATGATCTATGCATGGAGACTAGAGGAACACACTGTATACATTTATGCTGCCCAATTACTCAGCCCAAGACCCTTCATAAAAGTTCTCAACTGAGTTTTCTCAGTTTGCCCCAGCCTGCCTCCACACCTGCAGTTTCCTGGGTCTCTCCAGAGCACCCTTCTGCCCAGGGTTCAGGTCTTAGCAACAGGCTGAGGAGAGGCCTTCCCTGCCCTCCTTTACAGAAGAGAAGCCATTTTTTTCATGGAAAGCCCCGTTCACAGGAGTGTCGCCTTGCCCTTTGCCCCTCCCACCCCACCTTGCCCACCCTCCTAAAAAGTAACTGAGGGACACACTAGTGTGACCCATAGTACATTATCCAAAACACAGAAACCACACAATTAAAAGTGAACAGCTCCCAAAATTAATAATATGTAGCCACAGAGCAGCAGCAGTCTGAAAAGATTTCTTTGGAGTAAATGTCATCTGCAGAGATACAATTCTGTCTCCGCAGGGTGACGTTCTGTATGCTTCATCTAAGTCATAGCTTCTAAATTCCGTTTTAGATAAAAGTACATTGGAAACACTTCAAAACTCACTGGGACCCTCTGCTGAAATGCATACTCCAAATTTTCATTTCTACTCACAGAATTTTTGGACAAATCTAATATCACCCTAAATCATTTTTTTCATTGGTATAATTAAGAAAATTATATCACAAAAATATCCCTTTATTAACTTTTACTAAATCCCTAAAAGTGTGAGGCATTGTGCTAAGTGCTGGGGATGTTGTGGTAAAATGCTCCCCTTTCCTTCCCGCATAGAACATGTTACATATATCAGGGAAAGGGTAGATTGTTTATTATATTGAGTATTAGCATTATGTTACAACCCACATTTTAAAATCCTAGTGATTTTTATTGTCCATAATTTAATCTAATTTCTGGGTTTGGCTCCCCTCAGTAGACTGGTGGGAAATACCTTCTTCAGGCCACCCTACTTTTCCTCATTATGCTGTGCTTATGGAATTTTCTTTAAAAAACACTACAGCACTACAGTGAGAAGCACACAGAAGATGGCTCCTTCATCTTCTGTACTTGTCCCTTGAGGTCTGATGATACCCAACTGTTTCCATGTTTTAGTTGGGACATCATGACTTTGGGCTGCTGAGGTCTCCTTGCCTGGATACACAGCTGCCTCTTCTGCCAAGGAAGAAAAGTTCTGGTCTGCTGCTCTTGAATCTAGTCATGTTTATGCCCTTATTACCCTCATTGAACATCTACTTTGACTGCTGCAGGGGTCGGGGGAGTCTTAGGATTAGGCAAGCAATAACCCTCTGTGGGCTTAGTTCAATGTTTTTCCCTTGCCCTAGCACTGCTCTTAGTTTGGGATTTGGCTTTTAGAAATAGGAAGATTTTTTTTCTCATTTACCCTGTCACATTCTGTTCCCTGATATTTAGTGCAAAATCTACTATCCCATTTAATGAAGAAAAGAGGAAGAATATATATAATATATATATCATGTCACATATTATGCTATATATATAACATATATATGATATTATATAACATATATATTCTTTTCTTCATTAAATAATATAATATATAATATATTTTATATAATATATTATATAATACATAACATAGCATATTAAATATGACATATTATATATAACACATTACATATATGTTATATATATTATCTATATGTGTTATAGCCTGATTTACTGTTACATTAATAAGTGGCATTTTAAAAAGTTAGCCATGTATTGGGAAGATAGTTTGGTTTCATGCCTCAATGTACATAGCAAAACACACAGAGAGACACAAGCATGATTTTTCTTCAAATTTTTAATCCATGCAAATATGGAATAAAATATTAGTTTTTTATTTACATACAGTAAATTTTACTTCTTTGGTGTACAGGCCTGTGAGTTTTAGTACATGTGCTTCCGAGGCAAGCACAAGCCTGAGTTTTAACATGTAATCACCACAAAACAACTACTCCACTATCAACTCAGGTTGTCCCGCAGTCCAAGTCTCTCACATCCTAGGGACTGACAACCACTGACTGGCTCTCTCTATATAATTTTGCCTTTTCCAGAATGTTACATATATAGAAATAGAAAGACAGATTGAATACCCTGTAGCAAAAATGTTTAGGCTTTTTGATTTCTGAAACTTTTGGTGTTTGGAATTTTTTTTTCTTTTTTTTCTTGAGACAGAGTCTCACTGTATAGTTCAGGCTCCTCAAACTCACAGCAATCCTCCTGCTTCTGCCTCTCAAAACCATATATGTAATATGAAGTATTGAGATGAAACTCAAGTATAAATATAGAATTTGTTTATACTTATACACATGACCTAACAGTAATTTTATACTGTATTTCTAGTGTGTCTGAGTTTTGATGACAGCCTATCGTATGGGGTCAGATTAGGGATTTTCTATTGGTGGTGTTATGCTAGTGCTCAGAAAGTGTCAGATTTTAGAACATTTCCAATTTTACATTTCAGATTAGAAAAGCCTGACCTGTATACACGATGTAAACTTTGAAGACTGATTTATGTCACCTAACAGAATCCATTTGAACACTATCTATATTGTCACATACATCAGCAGTCTGTTCCTTTTCATCACTGAGTAGCATCCTACTGTATGGGTGAACCAAATTTTATTCATTTCCCCACTGAAGAACATTGGGATGTTTCCAGTTTGGGACAGTTGCGATAGTGCTGTATAAACACTTTAAGAATAGGTTTTTGTGTGAATGTAAGTTTTATTTCTTTAGTTACATATCTAGAAGTGGGATATCTGGGTCATATAGATAATATATATTTTTGAAAGGATCACCAAACCGTTTTCCAGAGAAGCCATTACCATTTTACATTCCCACTAGGAATGTGCAAAAGTTCCAGTTGCTAATGTCTTTACCAGCACCTCATATTATATACCTTTCCTTTGTTTTAATTTCATTAATAGGCATGTAGTGGTATATCCTTGTGGTTTTAATTTGAATTTCCCAAAGAACAAGCGATACTAAACAGCTCTTTACATGCTTATTTACCACAAATGCATCTTCTTTAATAATAGGTCTATTCTAATCTTTTGCTAAGTTTTAAAATGGGATTGTTTGGATATATGACTTATTAACATTTTCTTCTATTTTCTAGCTTTTCTTTTTATTGTCTTCAGGAAATATTGATTTTGTAATTGAATAAAAATTTGATAACATTGAGTATTTATTTACCTTCTCACTAATAAAGAATTTTCAGAGCATAACATTATGAAAGACAAAGATACAGAAAAATAATGATGATTTTTTAAAATTTTGTGTAAATTACTCAAATATTATAGATCAAGCAATAAATCGGAGAAAATATTTGCATAAGAATAACAATTATATATTTATATATAATTATAGGTTTGTATTTATATATTTTAATATATATCAATTTATATATTTTAATATATAAAAAATCCCACAAAATTACTAAGAAAACTGGACCAAGGGCATTACAGTCATTTCTCTTTTCTTTCTTTTTTTTGCAGGACTAGAGATTGAATGACCCAGAGCCTTAACACTGAGCTACATATCCAGCCCTATTTTATTTTTTATTTTGAGACAGAATCTCACTAAGTTCTTAGGCTGCCTCAGGCTCCCAGAGTTCTAGGTCTACAAGAATACACCATCATATCCAGCTAAGAGTTATTTCAGTGAAAAAATCCAAATGACTAAATAAGCATATTTTCAATGTATAGAATTGCAAAAGGAAACAACAGTAAAATATCATTTTACCTGCCAAATTGGCATCTTTTTAAAATTGGTGATGATGCTTGACAAAGGGAAGGAGTAAGGACTTAACTATCAGAAGTTGAGTCAGTCTTCCTGGAAGGCAGTTGGGTGCTATGTGTAAAGAACCTTAATACTGTTCATACTTTTGACCCGCCCCTTCCTCTTCTAGGAAATTCTCAGAGAGGCCAATGAAAGCGGAAAGCCAGAGAATACTTAGAGCTGGAGGAGAGGCTCCACTACGTACTCATCTTCATCCTTATGCTCTGTTTCATACATACTTTTTCCATACTATAAATAGCAACAAGATTTTCCTACTTCACCCCAGCTCTGTGTGGGAGCGCTTGCCAGCTAAGCACCTGTCCTGTTTATGTGCTTTCCCTGTGTGGTTCCTGCAGGACACCCCTGCACTGGGCTGCGGCTGCAGGGAAGGCAGAATGTGTCCAGTCACTGCTGGCGCTGGGCATGGACAGCAACCTGAGGGACATCAACGAGAGCACGCCTTTGGCCTATGCCCTGTACTGTGGGCACACAGCCTGCGTCAAACTCCTCTCCCAAGAGAGCAGGTGAGGATGCTGTGAGGCTTTCTGTGTTTCTTCCTCTTAAATGTGTGTAAAATTGGACAAATTTTCTAAATCACTGGTGTGTGAAACCGGAAAAAATATAATGTATTTACATAAGTAAATAATTATATAATTAATTATATGTGCTTACTTCTAACGTAGAGTGACATATGGAACAAAGTGATAACAAAAGCCTAAATCCTTCAGCTTCACATTCACTAGACTTGAACCTTTTCTTTGCTTCTTCTTGCTGTCCATGGTCTCTTCATCCTCTTTTGCCTGAATTGGCAGTTCTGAAACTTTTCATTCTAGGGAAACTTTTATACTCTCAAAAAATGTAAAAGACCCCAAAATTATTTTGGGAGTTACCTCATCAATACCTATGGCATTAAAAATTAAAACAGAACACAAGTGGTTCAGCTCAGTGGCACAAGCACCTGCCTGGCAAGCACAACATCATGAGTTTGATCCCTGGTACAAAAAAAAAAATTAACACAAAGAAATGATTAATAGAGTATTTAGTTACTCATTTAGAGTAATAATAAACCCATGAAATTTCCGTGTTACATAAATTCTATATTTTAATTAAAAATATAAATATTTTATTTAGTATTTCTACTTTACAAAACAAGAAATTTTTAATAAGAGCAGCATCGTGTAACATTTTTGGCAGATCTCTTTTCTATCTTATTAGGAGCTTGGTAGAAGGCAGTAGGATTCCCACATCAGCTTCTATATTCAATCTGATGTGATACAATGTTCAGTTGAAGGATATGATGACAGTCTGGTTCACCCAGATAGATAGTTAGAAAAGGGAGAAGTCTTTCAGGTAATTTTTTTCCTATAATGTGCCACAACCTAACGATTAATAGTTTCTTAGAGGTTAAATATAATGTGGTCTTTGTAACCATATTAGTGGATTCATTTATACTTTGTTCCATTATACTTTGTTCTATTATTATATCTTACATTTTAAATGGATCTTATACCTATGCATGATTTTATTCTTTGCACTGGTCAGTTGGAAAATACTAGTACTCTTAAGTTATATCTTTCAAATCACTCAGTTCAGGATACAATAGCAAAAAGTCATATTTGTTAACACCAGCACTGATCTCATCAGAAAAGCCTTTATGTATTGATATGCTATCAAGTGTACAGTATGAATATAAATTTTCCTAAAACCTAATTTTGCTTGAAAGTTCAGTTTTTGTCATTGGTAGCAATAACTGTCAGTTGTTTACATTGAAATGGCAGGCTCATTTTTTTCACTTTTAAAATATATTTTTGTACATATTTAAGACATATAACATGATGCTTTAATATACATATTCATAGTGAAATAACCCAGCCAAGTCACTTAATATATCCTTCACTTCACAGTTATTGCTTTTTGTGTATACTAAGAACACCTAAAGTCTATTTCTTAACATATTTGCATTACAAAATACAAAACATAATAATTTGGATCTTCACTGTTCCCCAAAGGCCCATATGATAAGGGTTTGGTCAGCTCCTGATGCTATGAGAAAGTGGCAGAACTTTTCGGAAATGGGCCTGGCCAAAGGAAGTTAGGTCACGGAGAGTTTTCACAAAGAGAATCCAGGGACTCCAGCCCCACCTCTTTCTCTTTGCTTCCCAGCTGTCCACAGGTGAAGTTTCCTCTGTCATGCACTCTTGCTGCAGGAGGCTCTGTGCTGTCACAGTTCCAAAGTGACAGGGCCATGGGGGCCAGGGATTTAGTCAGCACAAGCGCTTGCGTGGCAAGCACAAGGTTGTAAGTTGATCCCTGGTACCCACCGACCCCCCAAAAATGAGCAGCCAAAGTGACAGGGCCAAAAGGGACAATGGATGGAACCATGAGCCAAAATATATTTTCTTTTCTTATAAATTGTTTATCCTAGGTTTTCTTTCTATGAAAGAAAAATTACTAATGCAAATATTGTTATCCATAGACCTCATACTGTACTTTTGATCTCTAGATTTACTAATGCTACATAGTTGGAGTTTTGCACCCTGTGGCCTGCATCTCCCATTCCTCCTACTCTACCCTCACCTCTAGTAACCACAGTTGTCCTCTGCATTTCACAAAGTGTCTGCAAATACCCACCGCTGCATCACTGTTGTTAGACAGTAAGTCACAAAAATGGCATTCCATGAACAAAAGTACCTAGTGCAGCTGGCAACCCAACATGGTCAAGTGCTTTACTCAGGACAACCATCAAACCTCCATGTACAGTAGAATTGCTTATGAGTGTTTCTTATTTCATTACAAGATACACACTCAAGGGTCAGCACTTACCAAATTAATAACTTTTACTAGCTCTATAGGAAAATATTAAGTCAAATGCCTTTTTTAACTGCACATGTATTGATACACTGGTCCTAATTGGTGTTGAGGCTCTTGCAACTAACTGTATTCACCGCCTCTGTTACATCATCAGTGCAAAGGAAACACAGATAAGACAGATGACTTCTTGGTATTATTATGAATGTACTATTAACCCCATGAAACTCCTAGAAGAGCCGTGGGGATGCCTTCCTGAGGATTCAGTGAGCCACAATTTGAGAACCATTGACCTAAACCATACCCTGAAACAGGAGGAGAAAAATGTAGAAGATTCTGTAATAATAATAAGCATAGCCACATATTTTCATGAGAAAACTTGAAAGAATGTCAGAGATCCCCTACAGTTCTCTCTGGTAGTAATAAAACTCCAGAAGCTGGGTTAAATATTTCAAAAAGTTTACTGAAAGGTGAAAGAATAAACATAAAAATACGTTATGGGAACAAAGATTCAATTATGCACTGTGTGAACTGTCCAGAACACATTTGTTATATGCGTCCAAAATATGTGGTGATGTTTGTCAACAGATTATAATGTCGCTGTCTCAAGAATAATACTGCAGTAGACTCTTAACAGCATGCATATGGGTCAGCTTGCATCATTCATTCATACTGCAGAAAGACTGACTCAATTGTAACCTCAAAAATTAAAAATTAAAAAAAAAAAAAAACAGAATTGTCTAAGGAAGAAAAACAGAATAGTGCCAGGATCAGTGCCACAATCCCATAATACCAGCACTCGAGAGGCAGGAAGATCACTGCAAGTTTGAGGCCAGCCTGTGCTACCTAGTGATTCCAGGCCACCCTGAACACAGCAAAACTCTGTCAAAAAAAGGCAAAAAAGAATACTGCTTCAAGAAAGCTCTTGCCGTAAGTAGAGACAGCCAAACAGCTGAGTCTTTCAATTTTGCGTGTGTTGGCATTGTTCACTTGCCTTCTGCTACCACGCCCAACTTCTAGCATGCACATTTCTTTGGCTGGAACTCACACCAAGACTTCTGTCTCTGCTTTGTTTTGTATACTTTTTTTAAAAAGCATTTTTCAGCAGAAAATTTAGTACAAAGTGAAAGAGTAGACAAGACACAAACAGCATAAAATGAGCAAGGTTTCTGGCACGGATAAGGTCTGGACTCTGGCCTTCTGTCCAAATTTCCTGGAATCTCCACCGCCTCCTCCCCATGTCTGTAGCTGCTACCCTCTTTCTGTTAGGTGCAACCTGAACTCAAGCCCTTGCCCTTCTCTTTACTTAGAGCTCATATTCCTTTTGACTGCCATCAAGAAGAGAGCACAAAAACACTTTAATGTCAGCTTTTCTGTTAGTTAAAATAGGTTATGTGGGTCATACTTTAAAAGGATGGCTCCTGAAGGAGCAAGAAGAATCTGAAAAGCAACTGCCAAGTGAGCAGGGAACTACCCACTTTTGAAAGAGGACGATAAATGGTGCAAGTTCCCACATAGTAACTTTGACTTGCAGGACTTTGAGTAATCTATGGATAAGCCCAGACAACCCAACCAAGCAGATGAATGGGGGTTTGGTTCCTTGGTACTGATGTTTTCTCTACTTTCTGTCCTCACAGTCCATTCTTGTTCTTTATATTTCTGTAGAACAGAACCTGCTCCACCTCTTCCTCCCCAAAACAGTCGACCCCAGAAGAAGGAGGGACGGTTCAGTATGCTCAACCAAATCTTCTGCAAAAATAAGAAGGAAGAGCAGAAATCCCATCAGAAGGATCACAGCAAGGACCAACCCAGTGGGGAAGACACCTCAGAAGTTGATGACATCATCACCACCTTTGACAGCATCATGGATACCAACTGCCAGGGACAGCCTTGTGACCAGGTGGCTATGGTTGACCTTAAGAAGAGGACCTCAGAGAATTCAAAGTATCTCTTGCCAGAAAAGAAACTTCTGGCCTGTAAGGGGCTTCCACCCATCAGAACACAGAGCCTCCCACCCATTACAATGGGCAATAATTTCCTGACTGCTTCCCATGGCAGCATTTCCCAAGCTGCCCTAAGCCCAGGCACTCAGCATATGGCCCAGCGATCTCAGAAGAGTCGAAGTGAGCAAGATTTATTAAATAACAGGACTGGCTGCCAGATGTTGCTAGATAACCCCTGGAAGGGCGATTCTAATCAGGTGTTCTCCTACAAAGCTTGGACTATGCCTTCTTCTGAGAAGCTGCTAGACAGGCTTCTCACTGGCCGCCCAGGGCACCAGGAGCACGCTGGGCCACCACATCTTCCTCATCTGCACAATCCTCCACCCGGTAAAGTCTTCACTTTCCTCCTCTTCATTCCTGACAGTGTCTGTACGGGAGGTGTCACATGAACTTCTAGGTTAGAGACTGGAAGGCCAGTAACCTAGAGAGCAGGGCATGAATAAGACGTGTGATTAGGGCCACTTTTTTGTTGTGCTTCCTGGACTATCACTGAGCTTCAGTTTTCCAGGCCATGAAAACATTCTGTCTTTCCACTCAGAGTAAACAAGGTGAATGTGTGTTGAGGTACTTTTTCATCTTCCCAGCAAAGGTGTATGGTGTCTGCCAGCTTGAAAGAGAAATGCTATTTCCACTAAAAAGAATTGGTAACCAGGGACAAGGTAGCAAAATCACCTTCAAGGAATTGATTTGCTTGTGTGATTGTTTTAAAATCAGGCATTCAAGCCCTGCCCCTGACCTCCTGAACCAAAATCTTGGTGAGGGAGAAGGGAAAATGGCAATCCCTCTTTTGTGCATATAGGTAACACATGTGCTTATTTATGGTTTAGGGCTCAACACACACCAAAGGGTTACATGGCAATTTTCTTTCCCTGCTTCTTCTCATAGTACCAACTACCCCACATACAAAGCTACCAATGTCTTTTTTTATATCTTTCCAGAGATATTTCACATGTACATCTACATTTATGCATATTGAATATGTACACACCCCTTTTAAATAAATATATCACAATGAAGAATTTATATTTTACATACATATATATATACATACATTCTCTTCCTTATAAATACATGCATCACAATAAATATTTCTTTCAGTACTGGGAATTGAACTCAGGACCTACACATGCTAGGTAAGCACTCTATCACTGAGCTGTATACCCAGCCTACAATAAATAATTTGTTTGGATTTTTAAAAAATGATTCATATGTGATTCAGATGAATGCCAAAGACTAGGAACATCTGGGGCTGCAAAACAGCTTCTAAAACTGTCTGTCGCATAGTACCATGGCTTGCTTTTTAAATGAATTAATCACCAACGTCTAAAATACGACATTTGATAAAAATCTAGACATTCTAGCTTCTCTTGAGAAAGTTAAAAATCTGACAGCAATGAACCCACATTCTCACATGGCAATAATGGGCTGAAATGAGTAATCACTGTGCCCTTGAACGCCAGCTCTCCCACATCACTCTCTCACACACCAACTCAGTCCACACCACTCACTCTGCATCAAGCACTTCCATTGTTTTTCCTATAGGAAGGTAAAGAGAAAACACAATCTATTTCCTAGACCCATTCTGTCAAAATTAAAAAATGAAAGTCCAAGAGAGTAAAATCATTATTTCTTTTTGGTACTGGGGATTGAACTCATGACCTCACACTTGCCAGCAGGCACCTGTGCTGCTGAGCTAAATCCCTGGCCCAATACTTTTTTATTTTTAAAGTAGAAGAGGGGGCATGTGTCTTTCAGAATGAGGAGCGTCCTTCTTGTCCAATATGCAGGGTGGGGACTCTCTTCTCTCACTGATGTATTCTGATCCGTAAAGGCCAGGAGGTAGAATATGGTCCCCTCATTTTTACATATTTAAGCACGGGATAAATACAGATAAACACATTAAGTCCATTTCTAATCTGAGGGCGAACTCTACTCAAGGTTTACTTCTTCCTCAAAACACTGAAGGGTTTGACTGGTGGCTGGTAGTGTTTTGCACTTTTCCTGCACAAGGATAAAAAAGCAAACACATGGTTCTGCAAACTTCTGACACTTTAGTGCCCTAAAGACGTCCACCAGCCCTCTTTCTGAAGTTAGTATTGTCCAGGCCAATCTAATGCCTTCTTTATTCGAAAATTTGAAAGTCTTCCTCTGTTCTGTACACAGACTTGAGATGCCTCTTTTATATGAGTTAGGGTTGGGTTCAGCTACCTGTAGCGGAAACCCAAAGTCACAACTGATTAAACCACAGAAGTTTGCTATATTTAGTACAGAACCAGGCCCATTTTTGCCCACTGCATAGTACATCAATCATTGAAATAAGTTTTTCAATAGAAAGAGGCACAAGGCAGCTAATCATGGTGGAGGTGAAAGACCCAAATTTCCAATCTGTCTCACCAGGGATAGACAGTGTTTCGAGTATTTATGAGCTAAAGAAATACGCTAGTTTAGGGAATGGGGTGCTTTCCAGTTATAGGTTATGTAACCTAGAAAAATTCAGTGATTTTCTTAGTCTTATAGCCTGTTACAGATACCCAGAAAGTAAACTCAAAGTTCCTGGATGGAAGGTATCACCAAGGCAATGTGTTTGTGTCCCTAAACCTTGAAGTCTAATTTTTTGCTTTACCAATTATCTAGTGTGTAATTTTCTTATCCATTACATTATCCTTCCCAAAAATGAAAAGATTTCTCTGCCATATGAACTTTATTTTTACTCAATTTGATGCTTTGGTTTTAGAACTACTGGGGCTTCTGCACTGAGGCTTGCAAAGGCCCTATGAAGTTTTTGTTTGTCTAAGCAGGTGGAAACTTAACAGATTTCTACACTGAGCTTCCCTATTCCATGGAAATCTTAAGGTAGTAATGCAATTGGTCATTGTTAATCATACCACTGTGCCAATGATTTTAACTTGGAGAGTCCCACCCTACTCCAGAATCTTTGAGGTTTCTCCTTTCCTATTCCAGATTCAGTAGAAATAAAAGGGACTAACAGGGCTACCATGTGAATTGTGGGTGGCTGCTATCCAGTGCTTACATCAGCAACCCTGAATCTTTAGCTGTGATCATGATCACTGAACATCTATTGAGATCTGTTAGTGAGCTAGATGTAGAGCGATGGGGGATGAGGCACTTGCCCTAATGAGATGGAATTTGGAACACCTCAGCTTAATTCATTGCAATCAGCTTTCAGAGAAAATGGAACAGAAGTCGTCCTACTGGAATGGTTACTTTTCTGCTTGCTGTTGTTTCCTGCTAGCCTGTTTATTTTCAGACCATCACAAGAAAAGTAAGAAAGTGCACACTTCCCTTCTAAAAGGGAGAACGTCTTTATCCATAACTCTCTGGACATAGCTCTCTGTCCCAGCTAACAGTGTACTCTTCTGGTTGGATAAATCGGCATTTGTGGCCTCTTTGTTTAAAGCCACCAGTAGCTTTTCATCTTTCCAAGAAAAAAGCCAGATCTGCAAACTTAGCAAAGGTCTCATGGCACGGTCTAGCCTGCTTCCCCTTCTCAGCCTCTGTCCCCACCTTCTCAAGCCCCTTCCACAGTTCCACGAATAACTCAGTTCCTTGAAATCTGCCACCTTTCCCCTGTATGACATCTTTGTCTATGTTTTTGGTTTTTGTCTGCTGTGTGAACAACAGATTCCTACAATCTTTAAAAGCCAGCTGAAAACTCTCTTTCTACATAAGGGATACCCTAATCCCTACCGAGGTATGGCTTTTTCTTATTATTCCTAATATAACTCATTCTGCCTTCGTGAGCACATTCCTTTCAGCTGCACTACCAGAGGATTTGTAATCCACATTTTATGGTTAAAGCCCTTACCCATAAAAAAGGTCACAGATCTATCTAAGAAATAGCAAAGCAAACATACAAACAAGGTCTATGTGATACAAGAACATCTTTACCCTGGCGGGCCCTCCATTCCCCTGTGATGCCCTAATATACTTTATCACACCTGTATTGGTTAGTGTGAAGGAGGAGAAATTTAATTGGTCTCATGATTTCAGGAGATTCAGTCCATAGTCATCTGGTTCCAAGGCAGAACACTAGTACAGCACGGAAACAGCGCCAGCGAGAAAAGGGTGAAGGACCATATATGGACCCCAAAGTCACACCTCCACGGCCTGTGAAAACACATCCAAGATGCACCCTAGGTAGCTCCCAAACCAATCAAGTTGACAATCCACTTTAATCATCACAAGGGCACTACTCACAGGGCTTCAAAATTACAAGTTTACCATCATTTATTTCAGTAAATTGTAAGGCTCTGCAAGCCCTTTCCCATATCCTCCTCTTTGTACCTTCTAGGGCCTGAAATTCAATAAGTTATCAATAGATAATCACTAATTTTATTAATTTACTATATTAATCCTTTATTCACTTTTGCTTCCTTCATGTAACTGTGAAAACCTTTCCTGCCCTTTATTGCAGAACAGTGATCTTCAGTTCTGTCCCCACAGGCTGGACTTTTCCTAGAAGTACCTGCAGCACCAGGAAGAGAGCTTTGGGCTATACCTGGCTCCATATGGTTTTTTAAAATGGGCAAAACACCAGCATGGAATAAGGTTGAATTCTCTTCCCTTCCCCTGAATCCCTGACCGGGCTCTTCTCTGACAATTTCTCTCATTCTAATAATATTGCTTTAACCCCTAGAGAGGCTCAAGATTTTAGGATCAGATTTTAGGACCGTATAGGATTTTAGGATTGTGTAGATTTCAGGATCAGACTGATCTTGCCTAGGTCTAAGCTGTGTCACTTCCCATCATGTTACCTTGAGTACATTTTAGAAGATTTTCAAATTGCAGAGTCCTATCTTGAAAGATGTGCCTGCATCAGTTGGCCCAGTTCCCCACAATAGTACATGCTCAATAAACATTATCCATAATTAACAGTATCTCAATTCTAAGTCTTACAAATTTCTGCTGTCCGTTAATGTATATAATTAAGGCCTGAGCTGATCTGAATTCTAATGTGATTCAATCCAAGAGTATTTTATTAGTAATGAATAATGAAGTTATTTGATTTTCAAAATTAAAGCAATAAAATATGACATATTCAGAACCAGACATTTAGTTTGATCTCCATCAAATGACACTGCTTAGGTGGCTAATTATGTACAGTCTACCATTGGGATTACAAAATGGAAGAGAGATTTTGGTTGATACTTTTGCCACCGTATGCTAATAACTGCTTTTCCCAAAACTCTACAACCACTGTGTCAGGTTTCTTCTTACTAGATCACTAGGGAAAAGATCAGCTTTGTTTGTTGTTTTGTTTTGCTTCACTTTACTTTGTTTTTGTGTAGGCTTTGCTTGTTTGTTTGTTTGTTTGTTTGGGGAGTGCTAATGTTGACTGAGTCCTTTACTTCGCAAGCTAAATGTTTTACATTTGTCCTCCAATTTAATCTTCAGGACAAGTGGAAAAGACAATTATTTTCATCACTTAATATAAAGGAAATGGAGATTTAAAGATGTTATGTCACTTGCCCTCAGTCATGTAGTTAAAACATAGGGAAGCAGGGAACTGATTTTAATCCTGTCTGATCTCAGAGCTCATTATGTTACTTTGTCGACTTTTAAAATATCTAACTTTTTGTACTCCTATTTTCAGATATCTAGAATATCCATTTCTTGTTATCAGTAATGTGCTAGATGTTTAATACTGACTTCAAAGAGAAAAATCAGTGTTTATTTCTATGGTATAAATACGTCCATCATGGTGAAGTTCAAAACCTCAATGTGGGCTGGAGATGTAGTTCAGTAGTAGAGTGCTCACCTAGCATGTAACAGATCCCAGGTTCAAACTTCAGTCCCAGAAATTTTTTAAAGGTTAAAAAAAAAATGATAAAAGGTAACCATTAGCTCTGCAGAGTAGGTTCAAATGTTTACACACAGCTCTAACACACCATTGCCTACCACCAAAGTTAAAGAAGAGCAATTTCCCTAGTGGTTAATTCAGCAGTCTTCTAGTCAGTGATTCACAATCCAACTGCACATTTGAGTTATCTGGAAGCTGATAATACTCTCACACCTCACCTCCAGAGATAGTCCGATTTAATTGTGGTGTACCCAGGACAGCAATAATTTCATTTAATTATTGAAATTTTATTTCATTTAAATTCAGATCATTCCTATACTTGGAGACCAAGTAGTCAGCACTGAGAAACACTGCTCTAGGAAAAGGATAGTCCTGCTCATCATTCAGTCATCAAAGATGGGATAAACTATGCCAAATCTATGTTACTATTAATCTTTCCAACTTTTAAGTTTTATAGAGTGACCAACTTTTCTCATTTATAAATTTTTATTTCAACTTCTACATTTAAGAAGTGATTTCTGGGGCCATTCCATTTAAACAGAGTAGCATGTAATAAAAATGCACTAATGTGTGGCTATTGTTATTCTTTTCATTGTTCTTAACACCTTAAATTTAGTGATCTCTAACAACTTTATTATTCTCTTGTCCTTTGAACTTTATAATTTGCACTTGGATGAATCTTCAATGATTGATGCAAACATGTTTGTTCCCAGGACAAAATCTTCAGCATCTCTCTCCAAATAGATCCAAAATCAGAGACCTTCCTTTCACACGGAACAACCTTGCTCCCCTCCCAGACCAAAAATGTAAGTAGTATGACTCTTCCCGAGCTTCCTCTGCAACTAATAACATGCCTGGACACAACTAAGTCTTTTCATTTTATTACCATTTTTAAAAGAACATTAAGTGCCGACAATTGCAGGAAAATAGAGGCAATCTTTAAAACTCCATTAAACTTAGTAATGCTTTTTTTTAATTACAAAAAGAATAATCATTTCACTTAAGAATGTTGGTGTTTGAAGTATAAAAACTAACAAGTTTGTTTTGCTACATATTACTTATCGTCTTTAAGAAGTTTTATAAATATTCATAAGATGGGCTTCTTGACATTGGTGTATACTACTGTGTTGGACATACAGAAATGTGTAACATCTCTGTAGTGTAGTCTATGCATTCCTAAACAGATGGGATGCTGTCCATCAGGATTACTGGATTTATTTGGTATTATTAGTTTATTTTATATTCTATGCCTAAAAGACATGACAACCTTCAGAATATAAAACATATTCTATTAGGTCAGTGATGTTCAAACTTGAATTGCCTAAAAACTCACCTGGAATGCTTCCTATAAAGTAGATTCCTAGGCCCAACATCCAGAGATTGTAAGTTTATATATCCTAAATATTATACTCTGAGACAAGTTTATTATTCTCATTGTACAGATGGAAAAAAACTGACTTCAGAAAGTATACATGGCTTCCCCAGTATCTCTAGGTGATAAGTAGCAGAACCAGGACCAAAACTATAAGATACAAATCAACTGTCATGAAGTGTTGAAAGCAACACTTTCCAGTTTTCCTTCCTTCTCTTCCTATTCCACCCTGCTTATCACACACACACACACACACACACACAGAGCACCCCTCTACATCCTAATTCTAATTGTAGGCTAGATTACTTAAATTCCTTAACCTCATGGTGGTCATATCATAGTGTCAGTCCGATAAACTGTTGGGAAGGTTCAGTAGCACATCTACATATGTAAAACACTTGACTCACTGTTTGCACAGAACAAATATCTACTATGACTTTTCTCCCCCAGACTAGCGTTTAGAGGGGACCAACTAAAAATCCTAGAACTCTAGGCAAAACAGTGAACTATGGGGTCTTTGTGCAACCACGTCTTTTTATAGATGAGTAAACTACAAATGGAATAATTCTTTCCAAGACACAGAGGTAAAAAGAGAACCTCTACCCTTCCTTGATGGAAGATGCTTTTTGCCTTTACTGACTTGTGCAAAATGAGCATTTGGGATGGCATCTATTTTTAGCACTGCGTGAAACTCAGGTCTCAAACCATCTCTAAGTAAAACTTGTAGCTACAAAACCATCTAATTAAGGAGAGAGTCCTCAGACTTGAAGGGGCAGCTTCGAGAAGCAAAATAGAGGTTTTCTTTGGCGAAGCCCAGACATGTTGCTTTTCACAATATTCAGGAGAGAAGACAAAAATATCTGGTTACCTTGGAGAAAAAGAATGCTTAACTCTTCTTAAAAGAACCTGAGAACCTTTGAAGGTGCACATAAAGGCCCTGTACAAATGTCTTAGGGTAGGTTTGGAGCCGTGCACTGACTTAACCATCCGCAGCTGCTCCACCAGGCATACAGAACCCCATCACAGCATGAGCCAAATTGGCTTAGTCTTGTATTTGTGCACATTTAAAATCTCTGACCACATGTCGTGAGTTGAATACATCCACATACACAGCTTTCTTTACTCTGTGGTCCTGCTCTCAGCAACATAAGCTTTGTCCTTAAAAAAGAACTCTGTTTTTCTACACAGTTCCTCAGGCGCTCCAGAGACAACAAGCTCTTGAACTTATCCATTTTGTTCTTTCTCCCCAGTTCTATCTGGAGAGCCTCTACGAACAAACCGAGTGCTTCCTGCGATTCCCAGTCAACGGGGACACAGCACAGCAGCCGAGGATAGTGTGCTCTCCACTGATCCCACCAGTAATGTGAATTATCTGCGCGCTGCTAACTGCAGAAATATGGGTGTCGTCTATGTTCAGGTCTCAGAGGGCGAGCCTGCTCTGGTTTGTAAGAACAAAAACTAATTTAGAAAGCTGCATCCTATAAGCCATTCACAATTTTATAATTCAAAATTCTTTATTCCAAATAAAGATACTGCCTCATAAGCACTTAGGATACAGTATTTTAGTGTGCATATATTGTAAATCTATGATTTTATGTGACCTCTACATGCTAAAATGTTCAAGAATATATGTATTATTATCTGGGAAACATGTTTGGTTGGCTTTGTGGCATGTTTACTGTTTTATCTGTTTGCTGAATTATTTTATTTTTTTAATGTATGCTTTGATGAATAAAAAGGTTTTTAAAAGGACATTCCAGACTTGTTCTTCACATGTAGTGTAATTCTACCTTGGATGACAACACTTAATCAACACTAAAGTAATGAATTCTTATAATCAGTGTATGTTTTATAAAAGTACAATCCTCAGCAAAATATTTTCTAACATTGTCAATTCCTGGCAACAGTGCAAACCCCTTGACCAAGCTTATGTCTCTGCTTTGTTATTTGATCATTTCCACCAACTGTTATTTTCAGATATGATTGACTATTTCAATAGTGTGCGGGTCATATAAGTTGGCAATGTCTACATCCTGACCTAACAGAATTAAATAGGCATTTCTCACATGTCTCTCAAATTATGTATTTAATAAGTGGTTTTTTCTTCTGTTTCAAAATAATGGTTTCTGCCTACTTGAGATTTTTCCAAACCTAAGATTGAGCAAAGTTTTGAAAGACTCCTACTAAGACGTTGCATGCATGCTGTGTGGATTGATTGGAGCTATAGGTCTATCTGCGTAAAGATTCCGGCTCTGCCACACAAGGTGATAGTCACTCCTTGGGCACTCATCACATAAGATGATGGTCACTCACTGGGCCTACTGGGAAACACCTGGACTTCCAGTACTCTGGGAGGAGGCAGGATCACAAGTCTGAGCTCTTGGCAACTCAGCAACTAAGCAATTTAGTGAGACCCTGTCTAAAACTTTAAAAAACAAACAACCAAAAAAAAAAAAAAAAAAAGCCTTTTAAAACCAGGTTACTTTTCTCTGGTTGCTGGGACAAAATACCCAGCATCCAAAATTAAGGAAGAAAAGGTTTTCTTTGCTTACAGTATTTGGAAATTTTAGTCCATAATCAGTGACTGCAAGGCAGAGTTTCATGGCCCTGGGACAACACTTTACGGCAGCAGCCAGAGCAAAAAGGATGGAAGAGCAAGCCTCCTTTCCTCCCTTAGAGTGTACACCTGCCGCCACCTCCCCTTCAGGACAGGTGTAGTAGCACTAAAAAATCTCTGTGTCCTCCTCTTGCACAGGATGAGAATACTTACAAAGTAAAGATCTTGTCTCCTGCTGAGTCTCTCAGTCAAACTTTTTCTTTTATTTAGAGAAAAAAAGCAAAACAAAAAAAAAGGGTAGAAATACAGAATTTCAAAAAATAACAGTAAGAAATCACTAGTTAATAAATTACATATTGTTATCTTAGAAATAGTTGTTCAAGTTACAAAATCAAACAGCAGCAGCACAAATCAGTTAAACTTTTAAATTTCTCAAACTGACACAATATATTAACCATGACACCAGGAATGTAGTTCAATGCAGAAGCACTGAATTCAATCTCCAAGACTTCAAAGGAAAAACACAAAAAAGTATGGCGGTCATTTCATGTTAGTTCTATGTTTGCATATTATTTTGTAAGTATCTTAAGTATAATAATATTTACTTATATTAGTATTATCTGTTTAGAGAAATAAGACTGAAATAAACTAAGCAGAAGCACCTCTGGAGCCAACATACCAGAGAGTCAATCGTTTTAAAAAATATTTAAGGCAGTGTCCCTGTGTAGTAGAGGCTGGCTTTGAACTCAGGATCCTCTTGACTCATCCTCTCAAGTACTGGGATGACACATATATACCACATGACTTCAGTAACTTCAGTTTTTTCCAAAAGGAGGGAAGAAGGTAGAAAGAGTTTGAAATAGAGGAAGAGTAGGAAGCATAGAGGTTATAACTCTATTTTGACAATGGTAGTTTTTTGAATCAGAGATTGTAAAAGAGAAAGCCAGCTGACCAATCTCCCTGTTATACTGAGCAGTAGGTAAAAAGAGGGCAACTCCTGACACAAATGTAAGAGCTCTCAGGACAGCTTCTGAAGGGTTCTCTTTTTGTTATGTTTGTGGGCTCTTTTTGTTTTTTAAGAATCGTTCTTTATAGCCATCAAACTGTTAAGGTGTTCAGTGTGTCACTAGGCTGTCTCTGAATCCATGTTTATTTAGATGCCTTCCCCTAAACCACCTAGATTCATCAGGATAAGTTACCTCTATCTTGGTGTGAACTCCAAAATCTCATAATTTGCTTCTCAGCTATAATATAGGCTCCACACTAGCTGTCAGAATTGGCTAAGGTAGATTCCATCTTGACACATGCTTTCTTGATGACCAAAGCAGTGGAAATGAGATATGAGTCTTATCCTTTTCTCTCATATTTAATTCGCAAAATCAAATCATGTGGACACGGCTAACTTCAAAGCAAGACTGGGGTAGAGAAATGTAATCCTTCTAAGTGTCCAGAAAGGAGAAAATTAGAATATTTATGAGTTACCAGAGATTACCAAACTAACAAAATTCTGACTGATCACTGAAGGACACTGATATGCACCTTCACTAAATGAATAACCACTTAGCAAAATATTCAATATTTTTTTTAAAAAATTATACAGTTTTGGAAAATGTTACCGTTATGTAAAAATACCTGTACTTTTTTATATACACACAGACAAACAAAGAATCGTCCAATCTTGGGCTTTGACATCAAACTTTGTTGTATTTTCTTAACTATGAAGAAATAACATGCTACTCAATATGACTTCTTTAATAGAATAGCTGCCCTTTCATCATCAGGCAAGGTTATACATTGGGCAAATCCATTCTTGGACAATATTTTGCTGATCAAATCAGATATTAATCACTATAATTTGGATTTGAAATGGTCCTAAAGGCAGACATGTTGAAGTATTAGCCCATAACTTCATGCTTTGGGGACATGGTAGAACTTTTAAGAGGTGAGGCCTTATGAGGGTCTTCTACCCAATGGGTGTGCCCTTTAATGGATAGTGAACCCCGATCCTTCCTCTCTCTCTCTCTAACATCCTGGTCATGACATGAGTGGCTTTATTTACTTTGCACTCCTTGCCATAATTCACTGCCTCGCCATAGAACCAAAAGCAATGGGGTCAGCTGGCCATGGACTGGCCAAACCTCCAAAACTGCGAGTTAAAATGAACTTCTTCATAAATTATCTCAATATTGTGTTACACCAGGTAGCGCCTAACTTCAAAGAATATCAAAGTCTTTTCTTGTAAAGTGGCTTTTTTGTTTACTCATGTATCTTCCTTCCCAGATAAGAATATATCAATTTGTTTACACCTAAAAATCATAACTTTACATTCATTATTTTGAGTTATGTTAATTTACAAAATAAGCCTCTTCACCCTCTTCCATTTACAGGCAAGTAATTCAAAGGAGAAAGAGAAATAATTTGCCCAAAATCATTCAGCAAGCAGTACAGTTCAAATTAGATTAGAAGTACAGTTGTTCTAATCCCATAATCTACATTCAGAATGCCCATCAATCTTCCACTCCAGAAAATTCACTTGCATTTCATAGTATGGTATACCTTCAGCAATGCCACTTTTCTGTTTATATTATTACACATCTGTACAGGCAAAATACAGCTGCTATTACTATTTGTGAGAAGTACCTGCAAATCCAGTACTTTGTCAAAACCATTTAGAGTTCTTAGAAGTGAAAATTATTTTTCCCCATTTTTCCTCGTTCCCTTTGGTTATCACCTGGTTTAAGGTGTTCTTTCTTCCAGTAAGTGCAAATTCAATATTCTCTTATTCCTAGAACTAAGCCAGTAATTTCTATAACTCCATTTATTATCCCTTCCAACTATACCAGAGGATATAGCTTGACACTTTGCATGACTTTAGAAAACCCCATCAAGGGACTGATTAGAAATATAGTGCCTTCCAGAAAGACAAATATAACCATTAATTTCACTTTTGCCTCTACCCTTTGAAATTGACCGGTGCATGTATCTAATAAAAGGTTTCCTGGCACTTAAAAGACAACCTTTCAAAAGACAACTCTTTGAAATACACCGTATGTTTAGGCTAGGTAACTAAGAAAAAACATATTGGATCTTAGCGTAAATATAGTATCCAAGTCAAAAATCTCAATTAATAAAGCAACATGATAGCAGCTCTCAAAGGTAGCAGGTAGACTCTTATCATCTCCAAAGGAGAATGATAGATTAATAGGAAGACATTCTATCAGAACTACATATTTCCTAGACATTAACATAGAGATATTAATACTGGTAAATAAAGACTGTCAAAACTATAATTGTTCAAAGTAAATGGCTTTCATTCTAATCTTTGTCCTCACCTAACCCTGTTTTTGTAGATTGACTGAGTTCCTCAGAAATCCAATCCAGGAAGTCAGTAAGTAAACTGTGTGAAAAGCTGAAGAGTTTCCAGTCAGGATGTTACACTAGCACAATTGTCACTAGAACAATAAAGATAATGTTCACATTGATACATGAAAAACAGGAAATAATGTGTTGATCATTAAATTTCTAGTAAAAATTTTATCAGCAATAAATCACCTTTTGCAAGTTGCTAGTGGTCTATAGACTAGAAACAATATGCACAAAAGAAAGATATCCAGTTCCCCTAGGAAAATGAAGTCGACTCTACCTCGTTGACATAAAGACAGAAAGTTGAATTTTTGGGCCTTGAGGTCTGCTGTAAAAAGAGAAGATAAGGTGAAGGACAAGATAGATTATCACTGGTTCTACATGGGCAGTAAGTCCAAGAACAACTGAACCCAGGTACAAAACATAAACATGTTTGATCCACTAAAAATGAACCTGGACTAGAGATACAATAAAATGATATTTTAAAAATGAAGGAAGCAGACTATAGTCTTTGCTTCTTCTCCATGTGGCTTAAAAATACTTCAAAAAGGTTCTTATGGAAGGCAATTACACTTATCGAATGCTTAGATTCTGATAATAAAAGACAGTTTATTAGGAAGCAAAGCCACATCTCAGAGTCCAGAGAACCATAATGCATAAGCTAAGGCTGGGCCTCACCCTCAGGAGAAGGGTCTCCATGTCCCTTGATCAGTACTTTGGACGCTGCCCACAGATGGGGACATGGCCACTGAGTCTTCTCCACTTCACTTTTGCTCAGGAGGTAGATTCAGTCATATCTATCATTGAGATAGCCAGTTCCAAGTATTTTACT